GCATATAGTATGCCTAATAAATATATGTTGAATGATGCCCAAAGACAGACTTCAATATTCTTACAGAGATTTATATTTTATTTCCTGGCTCTTCACTGTTAAGAGAACCTGAAACATAAGAAATCTAAAATAACAAATTGATTTGTAGGAGTGAAATGATATTGTCAACATATCCTCACATTTATAAGATCTGAAAATATTTTCCTTATTAATATTTCTTGAGAAAGGCTTACTATGTTAGGTAGATTGTCTCATTTGCTCACAAACTTGCAAAATTCTAGTTCTACATTCAAATTCCCCATTTTCCTTCAATTTAGTGACCACCATTAACAGCCCACTGTTTTTCACCACCCATATGTTTTTGCCTCAAGCTTTAACTGATTATATTCTTTGATTTCCTTTCCCTGGTGTAGACTCCTTTTCAACTATAGATCTTAAAAGCGACACTAGCTGCTTTTTGTTCCTTGGAGCTTTTGAGGGCTTTTTTTTTTTTTCTCTCTCTCTCTTTCAGGATAATTATATTCTGTTGTGCCTTTTATTATGGTGTCTTTTAGGATCTCCTAACCTTGTACACTCTTGGACTTTATTTAATAGTGAGCTCTCTCCTCCACTCTCCACACTAAACCATGCTCATTAGGCTTCTTAATCCTCCATAATTTGCTTCCATGAAATCTTACACCTTTGAGTTGCTGTGTTCTATGAGCCCATTTCCTTAGCACTGCTACTCCAAGCAGCCCAGAATCAACAACCACTAAACATAAGCTTATTCACTTTCTCAGCCAACATGACTCTACAGGAAAAAAAAAAAAAAATCTTTGTTTTGAATGTTTATGGACCATGAAACTATACCATTTAACTTGGTATTTCATTTTCTCACCCAAACACTGCCTGAGAAGGTGAGGACCGCAAAATTAGACTCTGGCCAGTCCTTACCATACAGTTTTTAACTTACAGGTTTCATGTTCTTCTTCTACTCTATTTTAATAGAACAGAAATAACAATAGCCTGATGTTATGTAGTAGCTAGTAAATTCTAACTATATCTTTTCCTCATACTCAGAATTCAGGAGACGAGAAAAAACATCTTTTTTCAGTTATTCTGCAAGAGCTCTGCTTTTCCAAATGGGTTGTTTTTTAAAAGACATGTTCCTGTCACTGAAATTTGACTACATAGCCAACTTTGATCTTTTCAGCAATTCATTCTTTGCTTTGTCTTCCATTCTGCTCATCACTGGCACCTTTGCTGATAGGTATGTACAGAAAGTCCAAGAGAGCATTTAGTCTGGGATTTGTTTTCACTTCCTAAGGACTTTGGTTAAATTTTTAAAAAACTGACAATAGTACACAAAACAAAACACAACCAAACTTGGTAGTGAATTGAAAGAGTTAATGAAGTTTCCAAAGGTGCCTTGCTTATTCAAGCAAAGTTTACACTTCGGCCCTGTGCATGTTAACTTGTGATTCTCCCCATCCAGATGACAGAAAGCAAAGCCAGTAAGTTCTTTATTTAATTGGTTTGCATCCACACACTGACCTCCAGGGCTCTGTTTACATAGCCTATCATGCAATATGCTCCACAGTTCTCTGCCTCTTTCAAAAGCATGTTTCTCCTGAGATTTGATATATGGCTTTCATGTTTAATCACTACACTAAACTCAATGCTCTGCTTCCTCCAGCATCAACTAACTTCCCTTCTTGGGAGGTGGGGAGAAGAGCACTGCCTCTTGCTACTTCTGAACATAAAAGGAAGTCTGTTTTACTCTATTAGTAAAATCACCAACTACTCAGGATCATAGACAAGCAACAGTAGTACATTAACTAGAAAACAACATTAAAATGGAACCCTTAAAACTCCTTTAGCAACAAGGTAGGCTGATCGTTCGCAATTGGCAAAGCTAACCTTTAGGTCATTGGGTTATAAACAGAAATGGAGGTTAAACAGGATACAACCCGATACATAGAGGACACAGCTAGATGGCAGCTAAAGTTTGCATCAAGTTAATCTTGAGGACAGAACAATTCTGGGGTTCTCAGATTAGAATTGATTCAGCACCTTCTGATTTTTTCTTAACCTTCACTACATGAATAGAGCTTGCAACCTCTCCAACTGAATGTGGACACGGTAATGTCAAGATCCTTTCTATAAGAATTTGTATGTGACTCAAATTTCTGAGATAAATGAAAACCTCAGAAAAATGACTGACTTCTTTCAATAAGTCAACACAATTTATAATTTTCAGGTTTTAAAAATCACATGAAATGTATTTCACTTTAAGATAATTCAAGCAAAAAAAGAAAACTGAAACAAAAGGCAAAGTATTGATAACAGTAAAAGCTAGATGATGAATGAGTATGTGCTCACTATACTATACCCTCTACTTTAATATACAGTTGAAATTTTTTCATTAAAAAAATTTTTTTTAAACTTTAAAAGTGCAAAGTTGTTTGTGAATCTGCTTTTGTAGAAAAAATCTATACAACTTTGATAAGAAAAAATTAAAACACTTCCTAGGCTGGTCATTTTGGTATATACTTAAAAACTGACATTTTTCACCATGTGCTGACAATGAAAACTTTCCTTCCTTCCTTCTGAATCTCACTCTACAGCCTGAAACTCATTTATACAAACTGCAAATATGCAGTAAGCTGCATAAGTTGGGTCCTTTACTTGAAGGAACCAAATAAAGTGTATACACACACACACATACACACACACACACATATATATATATTTTACTTGGAAATTCCTTCTTTTATGGCTAGTCATTGACCACACTATTTATTTTTTTAAGAGTTTTTTTTTTTTTCTTAGTAAGATCAGCATCTTCCTTCATTTAAAAATCTTACTTTGTCAGGAACACTGTTACAGTTGTATACAACATTAAACAGAGCTGGTTTACTTTCTGTATTTGATGAACAATAGAGAACCTGAACCTATTAAAGTCATATATTTAATTGTTCCAATATGCTACCTTATCCTAACCAAGATTCGCATGCTATAGAATGCCAAAGAATACATTTCTAGCTTTCTTAGTCACGATTCCTTCTTTTGATATTAAGCTAAAAGAATTTATAAGAAAAAAGAGTTACCTGATTCTTAACTTGAAACCATCTGAATTCTTTCCACGACATATTTAGATTCAAAATTAAAAGAAAAAATAAACATTTAATCATATTCCCTGTAAGACTTTTTAGAGCACAAAACTTGGGAGCTTTCAAAGACAGGCAGATGTTGTCCATGAAAGATGTTTAAAAAAATTAAGACTTAGAAAAAAATAAGAATCATGAACAAAATCTTTGGTCACAAGAGTGAAAGATGTGTGCCTGTACAGATGTTATAACTATTTTCATGATAAATACTAACCTTCACTACAGGAATTTAGCAGCACACTTTAATTTGGATTTGAAAATTTAACATAAATTTTCTAACTTTGACAATAGCTGCCTAATATTTCAGTTTTATACACTATTTCCAGGTTTTGCCTTCAAAATGAACCAAGTGGACTTTTTCATTTTTAAAAGTTATATTCCAGATCCTGTAGGCTAAAACCAGTTTTTGACTTGATTTTTAAGGGATCTGACCATGATAAACGGGATTTTCAGTAAATATTTGATGGCTGATTTGCAATGATAAAAAAGACAGGCGGTTTTATGTAAAAATGAATCCTCACTTTTTTCCCTTTCTTTTTTATTGTATTTGAATATTTAAACTATTTAAAAACAACAAAGACTTTTTACCCCATTTTGAATATTTTACCCTATTTTACTCCTATAAGTCAATTAAAGAAAAAAAGTCAAAAGAATGGATACAGTGAAATCATGCCTTTAGTCTCCACATCATCGACCCTGTAAACCAAAAACGTTTACCTTCTATCATCACTGTCACGTGTGACTCAGAACCCAAGAGCACACAGGATGGAAAGATTTCTGATATCACAGTTCTTAAATTGGGTGAAATTGTTAACTCACACGTACAGCTGTCATATTTAAAGGGTCTCACACCAAGTTGAAGAAATTCATTAAGCCATACAATAAAAGATACAGTGTTTAAGAAGAAAAACATGTCGACTCCTTAACATCACTATCAGAAAGTATAGTCCTTGGTTCCTTTGTGAACATAATAAACAAAAACTTTTTTTTAAAGTTAAAACATAGCGGAACTCACACCAGAGTAAGAATGTTACTTTTAAATTCAATGAGTTATATGTTTTTCTGCAAATTATTTTCTTCTGCAATTGAAAATTAATGTTTATTTGTCTATAATACTTCGACAAAAAGCATAATTCCTTTGTACTGAACATGAGGTAATTTTTGTCCTTTAATTGTAAACACCATCAGAAACTCTGGAGCATGGAAATCTCAGCTAGTGAGGTAAGGACACAGTCAAATGTAAGGATTATATAGCTATATTCATTCTTAATGAGAAGAAAACATCCAATGAGGCTGATATGCTACTGTTTGTGAGAATGTAAATTTTGTCTTGACAGAGACAAAACAGTGGCTTAAGGTGACCTTCATTTTCCATCACCCATCTCCCTGGCAAGACAAATTTTAAAAAATGAACAAATCATAGAAAAATTTCTATTTCTATTGGCTAAAACCCTTTACAGTTTGCTGGATTAAATGTATCTATTACCCATATGTGATGACAAGTCACTTGCAGAGAACCTTCAAATTATTCAGGATTTTTGTCCACTGAGAGAATAACATTCTGTTTTTACCAATGAGTGTCTATGACCTTCACCTTTGGTTTTAAAATGAAACTCTGCAGATATAGAGCCTTTAGTACTTATTTCAGAACCATAGAGAATCCTAAAGTGAACATCTTAATAAGTTACGATTCCAAGCAGTCAATAGTCCTGCTCTGACGTGGGGTTCATGTTTTGAAAAGAGACTGCCTAGTCTGTTTAAAATCAAAATGGTTCTTGATCTGATGAATTACTCCTTAGAGAATAATGTAAATAAAATATACTCAGAATAACATTATTAATATAAACATACCTGAACCGGAGTCAAATTTGGTTTCTGACCTGCAAAGGGAAAGAAATTTTTTACAATATAAAAATTGCTTATTAAACAGTAACTTAAGAGGGGGGAAAGATGTAATAGTTACAGATTTCAGTACATTGGTCAACAAGTAAGATAGCTTTTTAAAATGTAAATACATATTTATTTTAACCATTTTAAGTGCATGTATAACCTTAGGTCCTCTAAACATGTACATATCCATACAGATGGCACAGTATGGAAAAGATATTAACTTTTCAGCATTTTTTTGAGAGAGAAAGAGAATAAATTTTGTAAAACAAACAAACAAACAAAAAGGCAGCCTATCTTTACAGATTAACTTTTTAGTAATACAATAAAGTAATTTTAAAAACCTTCAAATTTTAAATTATCCTTTTTACTTATTATTAAAGACTTTCAGTTATTCAAAATCAAGTAATTTTTCACTAAGTTCTTCACAAAGTAAATGAACCTAGTAACTCCATACATTTAATAAGAAGGAGAAAAAAAAAATCGGAGCCCTTGTGGGAACATGATGTTTCAGATATAGGTTAATACTGGTTGTAAATTCAGAAGCCTTTGAAGCTCTCAGTCTGGCTGTGGGAAAACTTCTGTTGGGTAATTACTCTCAAGATGCTGCTGATGTGCTGTCAAGCAGAATTAACCCTATGACTAGGCCTATCTACACAAGCTACTATAAGACAGCATTGTCTCTATCTAGCTCTCAAACCAATTAGTGGGCATGCTCCAGTTGGATTTATATCACACATTAACAATCAATAGTATATATGTTCGCAGCTGCCAGAGCAAGATACAAGAACCGGCCAGCAGGAGTCCTGTTAAAGGATGTTACATTGACAGAGAAGATTTTTTTTTTTTTCCTGGGGAAATTTAGTTAACTAAGTGGGAAAGGAGATTTCTTTGAAATTACGCCAGGGTACCAAAGCACTTTTGGAAGCGGTGGCTTTCTTTACCTAAATTAGCTTCAAGAAAAGTCATCAAAGGAGGGAAGGGGGAAAGGATAAGCAAGAAACAGGTTCCTTTGACATAAAAATTCGTTTTCTATTCCCAAATAAAGTTTCAGCTGCGGCTGCAACAAAGTCAATAACCATAAACACAAAAAATGATTATTATAACCATGGTTATCAACAACCACCTCTGTAATCCAGGCTCATATGTGTCTCAAATTCTGGCCCCACTACAGTCCTCAGCTCGACGCTTTTCTCAGGTGTCCCTGATTCCTGTTTCAGGTGCAAACCTACTTTCACTTTTGGTCCTCTCGTCTTCTGGAGAGCCTGGCTTCATGCCCACTTCTTTGTTCCCCACATCTCTGGGCATAGCTCTAAACGGCAACACTCACCACACACCGTCCTGCTCGTCTCCTTGCCTGTCTTCACTAGACTGTACCTTACTAGAGTCCTCAGCCACTGTGTCGGCCTAGTGCCCGGTGCTTACGCCTATATTGGGGAACGTCTATATGTCAACAAATGGCCATAGACATTTCAACAAATATCTCTAGAGGGAAATCCCTGCCTCCCCATGCATCCTGGATAAGAAGCGCTCTTCCCTCTGTCTGACATTTCCTACACTCATGTCCGAAAGGGCGCTCTGTCATCTCCCCTGAAACCAGGCTAGAGCAATTGCTCCTGCTTCCTGTTAAATCTTCAATATCTGAGTCTCCCCAGGTTCCTCCTCCCTTATGTATAGAAGAGTTCCAGAATTAATTTAAAACCCTACTTCAAACCTGTGTCATACTCTTGTTACCCCTTTTTCTTCCTGGCTTTTCAAGCGAGTATACTGAGAGGATAGACTCTACCCTATACTGCACACCTTCCTTTCCTGACCTCCCCCCAACATAGTCACTCTAAACCACGAGGATCTGTCCTTGCTAAGTTTTCTCAAAGGTTTCCTAATACCAAACCCAACAGCCCTGTTACAGTCCCCACTTTACTAAGCCTCTCTTCCACTAAAATTCTGCCTGAACGTTGTGCTGTGACCTCTAATGCCACATGTACTAAACTGAATTCATTTTCTTTTCCCACAAATATAATTCTCCTGCTATATTTCCTATCCTTTTGAGTCAGAAATGATGATGCTGTTCTGGTTTTCTTCTGCACCCCCAATATCTAATTAGTCACCCAAACCCTTTGATTCTACCACCTTCCCCCTCCTCTTTATCCTCATTCTTAGCACCTTTAGGCCTATCTTGGGCTCCCCTGGTGGCTCAGAAGGGAAAGAATCTACCTGCCATGCAGGTGACCAGAGTTTGATCCCTGGGTCGGGAAGATCCCCTGGAGAAGAGAAAAGCAACCCACTCCAGTATTCTTGCCTGGAGAATTTCATGGACAGAGGAGTTTCGCCAGCTACAGTCCATGGGGCTGCAAATAGTCTTGACACAACTGAACAACTAACACTTCGGCTCAATCACTCATAACCTGTATCCCCACCTCTTCCAAACCATCATCTAATCAGCTGCCTGGTGTTTTCCAAACATTAATCTGATCACATTATCACCACCACCCAACAACTGAGCAGAGTTTTTCCAAACTTCAATCACAAGTTGACCCATGAGTGGATTATACAATTAATTTAGTGGATTATGACTAGTATTTTTTTTAATGAAGTAGAACAGAAGACAGATGCATCCCATATTGAGAGCATGTGCAGTTTTGTATAACTTTTAGGTAGAAGTGCATGCATTTGTGTGTGTGTGTGTATATGTGTGTGTGTGTTTTCACGCATATGCATACTGGCCAGTTACTAGCCTCACAAATGAGCAAAGAACATCTGCTCTGGCCTGCCTCTGGCTGCACTCTCCTCTCCACCAGGCAAAGAGTCTCTTCTTATTCCCCTGGAAGCTCCAAGTACCAAAGTCCTCAGCATTTTCGGCCCAAATGGCCCTGAGCTGACTTCCGCAGCCTATGTGGACCTTTCACAGGTCAGCCTGTGCTACTAGTGTGTGTGTGTCTCCAGCCCAAGCAGTGGCCAAAGGCTGTTCCTTGAAGGAAGGAGCTTGGACCTAAGGGTAGAAGGAAGGGGAAACAAAGAGAGCAGGGCAAAATGCTTTTCCTATTCTTCTACATTCCTGCTCAGAAAATTCTTCATTCAAACCCTCCTGTGAGAGTGGGGAGCTGGGAGGACCAAGAAGCCAAGGGTTGCCCCTTAGGCCAGACCATCACAGTCTTGATGGCCTTGGAAATGGGGGCCTGGCTGGTGGGAACAGGGAATGGGGAGTGGAGAGGAGTACAGAGCCTGTGGCAGAAATGAAAGAGTCTCTCCCTCAGTGAAGAAGAAAAGAAAGGTGTTTCTCTTACGGATTCCATAACCATTGGAATAGAAGGCTGAGGGAAGGTTCTCCTCCCCTCCCGCTTGGCCTGGTTACCATCACCTCTGCCATTTCCCCAGGCTGAATAACAGTCTTTTGGTGGAAGATGAGTGTATTTAAAATCTGCTCTAACCTAGGGCTTCCCTGGCAGTCCAGTGGTTAAAAATCCACACTTCCATTGCTGAGGCACAGGTTCAATCCCTGGTCAGGGAACTAAGATCCTGCATGCCCCATAGGTATAAAATAAATAAATAAAAATAAAATTAATAAAATAAAATTTGCACTTTTTTCAATCACTTGATATCAGTGATTCTACACACCGTTTTCTCTGTTTTTGTTACAAGGTTTATCTGTCAAGGTAGGTTAGCAAACTTTTCTAACAGTTTATTGCCTTGACTTATAACTTTTAAATAATTAGCTGTACTATATCTCCACTTGTCCTCCTGCCCAGGCCCTGCATATGTTGGGGCCAGGCCTAGTAATGAGCCATCATGTAGAAAAGTATGTCTTACAATGGGTCACAGACAAAAACATTGAAAAACTACTGACCCAAGGACACCGAGTTCACCTCCTCTGCAATAAGGGGCCCACCACCACCTGCGTCTCCCGTCCCACCTGTAATCCTGCCTCGAATCCACCTCTAGCCTGCAGCCTTCAATCTCACCGAATCCACCAATTGCCACCGTATTTCACAGCCTTCATCCAGCATCCTCAGCTTAGAACACCTTTCCTCCAGCTCATCACTGACAAATGTTTACTCCGTAGACTCGCCTCAGTCCCGGCAGCAGCCTGCCTGCCCCGGTCTCCTCCTAGAGTTTCTTGCTTACCTTCAGTAATTCCATGGTTTGGGTCCTGGCACAGCAAACTGCCTGCCCCCCACCACCACATGGTACTGACACTAAGCCCATCAGAGTCTCTTCATGGTCCCAGCACTGAGCACAGCATCTGGTATTTAAGGTATTAAATAGGTGTAGCAGGGGACTTCTCTGGTAGTCCAGTGGTTAGGACTCCATACGCCCACTGCAGGGACGCTGGTTTGATCCCTGGTCAGGGAACTAAGATCTGCTATGCCAAAAGGAAAAAAAAAAAAATTCTTAAGCTGAATAAAAATGAAAATACAACATATCAACTTTAAAAAGTATATGGGAAAAGTGACAATTTTTTAAGTGTGTAGCAGGAATCAACACTTGAACAAATGAATCTGTAAGTTAACAGAGGGCCAAAAACAAGATATAGTAACAAAAACTATAAAGTGCCTCATTTGCAATATGAAAAATCATGTCACAAACTGTTATTCCCCAGACCATTTTATCTCCTTCAGAGAAAGCTGGTCAACATATAAAAAATACACATAATGTACAGAGAAACATTTTCACAAACTAATTAATGACCTTAGGTATCAGCTTAAAAAAGTATTTTCAGAATTCTCAGGCACAGTTTTGCACCTTCAAAAAGCCACAGCTGGGACTTCCCTGGTGGTCTAGTCGCTAAGACTTGAACTCCCAATGCAGTGGGCCTGGCTTCAGTACCTGGTCAGGGAACTGGGTCCCACATTCCAAAACTTAAGATTCCGAGCTCCACAACTAACACCTGACCCAGCCAAATGAATAAATAAAAATAAATATTTAAAAAATCCACAACTATTCTAATAATAATTAAAATATGATAATAAAAGTAAATACTATCAGTTTTAAGGTT